AGGAGCACCTAGAAGATGCCAGCCAGCAGAATCAACAGCTAGAGGCCCAGTTGAGCCTCATGGCTATCTCTGGAGAAGGTACAGGAGACCACTCAGGGGAAGAGGAGACAGCCCCAGGAAGAAGGGGGGACTGTCAGCAGCATAGGATTCAGGGGTTGGGAGAGACCTTTAGAAGAGCTGGTCATTATGCCAACCAGGTATCTGCACTAAGCTCGGCATCAATATGGTGACCTACTGGGAGCAGGGGGCCACCCGGTTGCCTAAGGATGAATGAACTGGCCCAGATCAGAAAGGGAGCAGTTCAGAACTCCCAAACCGACCGGTAGTGGGACTGTGCCTGAGCAATATAGCAAGATCTCAGTTCTTAAAAGGAAAAATAAAGAAGAGCAGCTCATTCCCCTCTGGGGAGGGGCTGTCTCAGGGTTACACAGTGAGGGTGGGGAGAAGTGGGCCCACAATACCTCCCTAGTTGGGTTGTCTGAGGACCCCTCTGGCCACCTCCCCACAGGAAATGAAGGAGGACATCTGAACGGTGAGGAGGTGGAGGCACCTCGGCTCATGCCAAGCATCCCAAAGGACCTGGAGAGCCAGGAGGCCACGGTGAGTCTGACTGTCCCTGCCCCGCTTTGCCACCTTCCTCTGTGGTCCCTCCCACACCTCCTTATGCTCTTGGTTTCCCCGCCTTCTGATTTCTCTGGACCCTCACCCCTTCCGGGAGCCAGTGGTCAGACACCACTTCACCTGTGACCAACAGGTGCACTCTCTGAGGCCCCAAGGGAAGGGCTGTGCTCCACCTCCCTGCCCCATTTGTTCTGTGTATGCCCTACAAGAATACTCAGCTCTTGCCTTCATGTGGCATTTTTCATTCCACTGGAGCCACTGCCCAGGAGGAGCAGGCACGGCTATGTTAGCAGCAGAAGGTGCAAAGGCTGTGCTGCCTGCACCTGGCTCACCTGGTGGCCGCGGTCTGGAAGGAGCCAGAGGCTGAGGCCCCGGCCCCAGGGACTGGGAGTGAGTCTGTGTGTGGGGAGAGCTGCCGGGCCCTGTAGGAGGCCATGGAGAAGGTGAAGGTGAGCGAGTCCTGGCATGGGCCAAGAAAAGTGAGGGCGGGGCAGGACAGGTCACTCCCGTGATGTGACCCCATTATTTTGGCTCCAGAGCAGCTTTATGGACCTCCCGAAGGAGAAGGCGGACAGGAAGGAGCAGGTGGAAAAACGAGAGCTTGGATCCATCCAGCTCTCTGGAGCAAGAGAGGGCATGAGTAAGCAGGAGGCCAGGGCATGGCATGGGGAGCTGCGGGGCCATTGGAGGGGCCCCAGTGTCTGAGCCCTGTCCTCTTGCAGGAGAGTACATCACCATATATGAGAGCCATGGGGCAGTGCCAAACACACGGCACCAAGAGGACATCATCAGGCTGGCCCAGAAGGAGGAAGAGATGAAGGTAGAGGGCATGCAATATCTCTATGGGGGTGGGGGTGGGCATTGGCGCTGGTGCCAGCTCAGTCGTGGCACCTGAGCACCCCTCCCTGCAGGTTAAGCTGCTGGAGCTGCAGGAGCTGGTGTTACCACTCATGGGCAACGACGAGGGGCATGACAAATTCTTCCCCACTGCACAGAACTCTGCTGAGGAGCCTGCTCCAGGGGCCCCAGCCCCCCAGGAGCTTGGGGCTGTGGAGGAGCAGGGTGGTGAGTAGAGCCCTCAGGCGGGGTGGGCAGGCAGGAGCAGGGGAGGCTCGCACTGTGCTCAGACCCCCGCCTCCCTCTCTCCAAAGATCTTTGTGAGGTGAGCCTGGCCGACAGCGTGGAGCCTGCAGCGGGAGAGGCCAGGGAGGGTTCTCCCCATGGCAACCCCACCGCAGAGAAGATCGTGCAGCTGCTTCCTGTAATGCAGGACACCCAGGAGCACCCAGGCTTGGCCAGCAAACCCTGCGTCCCATTCTTTTACCGGGCAGCGGAGAACAGGGAGATAAACATCATCATCATCTGAGAGCTGGTCAAGAAATTTAAAATCAACAACAACGAAATGTGGTTAATCTCCTACACAATTCGTTTACTTCATTTGAATGTTACAGCCCCTCATGTTTATTTGTGTTTCTAATTTACAGTTTAAATTTATTTATAAAAAGTTAAGGGAGAGGGCTCTTTCCCTGATGTTCACTCTGGCATCCTTTAGCATTTTTGTTTTTTAATCTGATAATTGTAGGTTAATAGCATGCGTATCGAGTTTGCCCTTACGTGGTGGGAGTTCAAACACACAAAGACCCACTATTTGCACAAAACTATTCTTGCTGGTTTGGAATAGGCTGCCATGCTTTTTAAATGTTATTGCAGCATGTATATTCTTTACAGAATTCAGATAAAATCTGCTTATGTTCTGCTATTATGTTTGATCGAATCCTAATCACAGTGAGCTCTTCATTAGCTCAATATGTGGTTTGCCCTCAAGTGCGCACTGTTTCTTACTTTGTAATATGCCCCTGTGAGTACTGACATTTAGAGTTGTTTAAAGGCCGAGAACTGGAAACAGCCTTTCCCCTATTTTCTGTGTATTGGGGATGGGAGGAATAACATTTTGGGGAGCTTTTTAAATCTCACAGAAGAGGAAAGTGGCCTGCTCTGGCAGGTGTGTGCAGGATAGAGTGTGTTTCATTTGTTCTGGTGCCAGGAATGAGTGCGGTACTATGGTAGTTCCCTTTTGTATGTGCTCTGGGCTCCTGAAGATATTGCATCATGAGCTGCAGCAGTTGGACTCTTTCTCAATGACCTAAAAGGGATTCTTTCTGAGGAATGAAAGGATCCCATCATTGACTGTGGATGCGGAAAATCTTTTCTAGCTTAGAGCTTTCATATCCACAATACATTTTAACGTCAGAGTTCTTGTTACCTGTTTTAATCACATGACGACATGTCCCAGTACACAAAAGGGCACTGGTTGGCATTCTTCTTAATGTATTTAGTAAAGATCATCAGAAATCCTTTCAGAGTTTAAATGTCCCTGGAACAGGCATACAGGCTCTAGTCAAGAATGAATTCGAGTGAAGGAAAGCTGTGTGACACCTGGCATTCCTCTATGTTCACGGAGCTTCTTTGAGGCTAGAAGATTGATTTTACCACCTAGACCTCTCTGGCTAATACCTGTTCTTCAACCACATTGATTAATCTGACACAGGAATTTGCTTCTTTTCTTTGAATGAAGAACACTTTAAAAATAATAACGACCATTACTATAAACCAATATATGTGAGAGTATTAGTTGAAACAAAAAGGAGTTTTAGTAGACAGTGTTATACTACATTTGAAAATCAAGGGGAAGTTTATGGAATTTAAAATGTTTACAAGCTGCTGTGCAATCTACTGTTTGTGAAGGTCAAAGTGTTATGAGGAAAAGTGTCTACACAATCACAGAGTTATGTTTCCTCACAAAGTTCTTTACAAAGAGTGAAACATGTTTTTATACCTCTCAGTTTCAGTTAGAGGCATATTTTGTGCAATATTTATGTTAATGTGTCTGTACATGATGAATGAATTATTTCAGTCATATGTTGCCTAAATCATAACTTTATGATGCTTGGGAAAGAATCAACAGCTACAACTTCATGAAGTTCTAATGTCTGTGTTCCAAAATACATCACTTTATTAGGATGTAGGGAGAGGTGTATGTGCGTTCCCTGGGGTGGGCATTTCTAGTTACTAGACCATCTCCATTTTTAGCATTTGGCTTCCTCATGATACCTTTATACATATGACATTAACAGAAGAGCAATAATATGATTTTACAGATGGAATAATAGATTTGCCTGCATTCACTGAAAGGGTGCAAATATTTAGTCCTTGTGACTTCAACTGACTCTTCCAAATTGTCTATTTTAGAGCCTTGAGCTAGAAATCATACCACTGTTAATTAGCCCCCTTGTTTGGTCTAACAGTTTTTCTTTATAATGCTGAAACTGGGTTTACCTGATAAACTGATAAATTATTTCAAAAGTATTTTTATAGTTCAAGTCACTTCACTTTTACCCTGAAAAATATAAATGACTAGGAATGACCTTCAGATAGTGTTTAGCATCTGTAACCAATCTGACAATAATGTGTTCATCAGGTACCTATGGGTGAAATCACACACTGGCATGTTTAAGCTGAATGTCAGTCTGGAAAAGAAATGTACTGTATTAACTGAAATACCACTCTTTGTGTAGGTATTTTGTAATTTATTTTTTAAAAAGGCTAAAAAGAATAGAAATTGTATGATAATAACTTAAGTTTTTCTTCAAAGTGCACGCAGTCTTTTGCAATACCTCATTCAGCCAAGTATTTGTTCTCTTCCTCATTCAGTATAAGGCAGCTTTCAATTTGCTGAGAAGGCAACATTAGAAGGTTAGAGTTTATCAGAAACATAGAACTTTAAAGTGTGAGTTCAACTGAATAAATATGAATTTCTGTACGAAGTAAATCATTAAAATACCTATTTAAAGATTGCAATATATAACCATTTTTAAAGTATTTGATTAAACCTGATAGGTTTCCCAGAAATGAAAAAAAACAACAATCAATTCCACAACCAAAGCTGATATCTAATTTAGAAAATGTGAAAATGTAAATCAGCCCTATCCACAATATAGTTTCTGTAAAACTTTGGCTTAAAGAATCATTTTAAAAGAATATAACTATGCAAAAATGTAACTGCTATCTTAATGTTTTGAAATAAGTTAAAGCATATTAAAATATAAATACTGTAGTTTAAAAGAGTGAAACTGGGGGAAGGAAAAGTAGAGAAAGAAATGCCAATTCCAATGCCAAGCTTTATTTGCCGAGTTTTCTTAGAATGACTTTTACCAATTTATGAATTCCTGTAAACAGAATGTATAATGGAAATGCTGAAAGACTGTTGCCTAAAGTGCCATTATTGACTGCTACTGTGATGCTACTGCAATGCAATAAGTTAGGAAATTGTTGCAAGGGGCTGTTTTTGCCTTAAAATTTTGTGTGTCTTGAAAGCTATGGCGTTAAAGGTATGAGACTGTGCAAATGCTGGGCATGCTTGGCATGAGATCGTTGGTTTTTATTTTTACAAAATTGTAACTATGCAAGTGTGTTTATTGAAAGAACACAAACTAAAGTTATGGGATAAAAAAGTTGTGGATGAAAAAGTTATGGGATAAAAAATGTGGAAAAGTTGTGAAAAAAAAGTAGAATAATGTTTCATGAAAAGTTTTAAAAAATTATTATGAACAAGAAGCTATAGGATTAAAAAAATAAGTCATGGGATAAAAACAAAAACAAATAAAAGCAGGCCCCTGTCAGCATAAGCCTGGAGAAGTGGGGCTGGAGTCTCCCCTCCCCATCATATTCCTATCACCCCTTCCCAGTCACCCCTTTACCATTAGGGTAGCAAGACAAGACCCCTGTCTAATGGGGGTGGGAGTGAAAAACAGACCCTTTGCCACCTTGACCAGGGCCGAGTCCTTAAATTTCTGGATGGTGATGTTTGCTATTTAAGAGCCAGAGGCTGGTGGAGTTGGTTTGTTTGGAGGAGGCCTGATGGCCTCCCTACTCTCACCAAAGCAACTTTTCCCTCAGGAGGCTCCTGTCTTCTTATTCAGAGAGGCAGCTGAGGCAGGACAATGGGGCTAAGTGTAGAGCAGGCGAGGGCACGGGCTGCTGGGGTGGCCTCCCTTCCCCAGTGTACATATAGTATCTGTGTAATATTTTGTATATTCCAGGAGTAGGGCTGCCCCCTGTATTGTACCTAGCGGAGGTTGGAACTGGCATATGGGGAGGAGGTTCTAATCATTATTTGCATCTGGGAGACTTATTTATTGATAGCACAGGACAGAGGAAGGAGGTGGGGATGAGGTTGTGGCTCCCTGGTAATGCGACTCCCGTTTATTTTGCTTTTCATTATGGAATAAATGGATTTAGCCATACTGCTCAGCCTGGTATGTTCCCGTTTCCCTCACTGGGTCCTGGAGTTTGTGCCACTGAATGAGGAGCCCAGAGTGTCTGAGCATGTCCAGCTGGGCTGTTGGGGACCTTCCAGGCCTGTTACCTGTATGCTGCCTGGTGACATCTGGTGGATTTCACGGGGACTGCCATGGCACCTATGGGGCACAGTCCAGCCCTGACAGCCAACAGGCTCAGAAGCCTGATCTAGCAGTGGCCAGGAAGGCAGATACCAGCACCCAAGGGCACTGACTTCCATCCACCCCAGGCATCTTCCCTTCTGTCTCCCTGCCTCCCTCTCCTGTCTGCACCTGGTGGCCTGTTCTGTCTGTTCCCTCAGAGTGCCGGTTGCCCTGCAGGCTCCCTCCAGGCTGAGTTCATGGCCCTGCACCCTAGTGGCCAGAGCCGGCTTCCCAGGATAAGAGACAGCTAAACTCCAGACTTTCCAGGAAAAGTGTCCCTTGGAAAGGATGTGGCCTTTTCACCACTCCCAACAGCACCCTAGAAATGGCTTGGCCTTTTCCCTCCCCTGAGCTCCACAGAGGACACAGCCAGCAGAGGACACATTCCCCGTCATCCAGAAATGGGTTTGATTCTCAGCCGAGGGACAGCAGGACTGGTAGAGAGGCCACATGGCTGCCTACACAGCAACCCCATGCTTGGTGGTGGGTGGAAGGGATGGCGGAGGCTGGCTGTCCACAGGCCGGGCATGACAGGGAGGCTCACTGGAGGTGGCGCACTTTGGAGGGGAATGTCAGGGGACAGCTTTCTCTTGTTGGGCCACAAGACTCCACAAGGACAGCACAGTGACTGATTCCCAGCGCTAGAGGCAAGGCGGTTGGCCATGTGTAGGGGTGTGTGTGTGTGTATATATGTGTGTGTGTGTGTATATATGTATCAGTATTTATAGATATTTATAGAACAGGGCAGGGCATACTACAGAGGGGCACAAGTTTTCAGCAACAGTCACACCTGGATGTGTCAGCTCAGCACTACAACAGACTAAGTCACAGATGAAGGGGGCTGGCTTTGGGGTTGGGGAGCCACTGTCAAGTCACAGGACACTCGCCCAGGCAGGCTTGGAAAGGGAGGCCTCCGAGAAGAGGAGGATCTGTTTAAAGGTCAAAGTGGGGCTGGGGCTCTCAGGTCCGGATGAACTTGCCTGACCCAATCAGCTGGCAGTTGGAGAGAAGCAGAGAGAAAACAGGAGAGAGAAAAGTGAGCAGAGAGCTGGTGAGGCAAGCACAGAGCACGAGTGTGCTGCGGCAGCTGTGGGAGGGCCGTGGAGGGGAGGGCGCAGGTGCAGGTGTGGCAAGGTTCCTGGAAAAGAGGGGCTGGAAGGGAAAGGGGAGGAAGATGGAGGGAGGAGCTGGAACTTCACAGATAGTGCCTGGGGGCTGCAGTGGCCCTCCCCAGCCCCCACACACTGGCCTGTCCCATGGCACCCAGGCAGTGCACCCACAGTTCAGACCAATGCTCAGCCCCCTCAGGCTTCCCTCTTCTCTAGTCACCCTCTCTTCCAACCCACTGGCTCAGGGCCACCTTTTGCCTTGGAGAGGCCCACACGACAGCCGCCAGGTCTGATAGAGAAGGAACACTGCTTGACCCAGGATGGTGAACCTTTTAGGTTCACCTGGGATGGATGGCTGGAGTGAGTGCCAGAGGCCCCTCTGGGCAGTCAGAAAGCCCAGAACCTTCTAAAAGGACCCTGGGAGAGGCAGGAAGGGCATATGCCACTGGCCATAGACTTATAAGTCTAAGAAGGGAGCCTCAGCTGGTTGCAGGGTCTGCAGGTCACATAGGTGAGGCTAAGCCCTTCCTGCTGGGAAAAGCAGAAGAGGGAGATGGGCTCTTCTGCTTTTCCCAGCAGGAAGAGGGAGGTGAGTGGGCTCGCTAGGTGGAGCTCAGCTGAGCCAGCAGGGACTGTGGTCCCCTTGGCTGAATAGTACAGGCGATGCATAGGAGCAACAGGCCAAGGTGCGTAAGCCTGCTGGCCGGTGGTAGTGCTTCAGCGGGGGCCAGGGACCCTGCCTTCAGTTACATGCTAGCAGCTATGATGGTACCCGGGAGGGAGGGAAGGGGGCTGTGTGTCCCTGCCTGGCCTGTGAGGTGTGTTGTGGGATGACTGTTTGTATGGGACTCTCAAGATTTTATCCTAGATCGCCATTGGATTTCCAACAGATAGAGGAGGTGGGACCCTATCACCCCTGCTCTGCAGTGGATTTGGCTCTCGGCACTCCCAGGCTGGGAGCTGGATGCCCTGCCCTGGCAGCATGACTCAGACTGCACAACAGGTACAGTATGCCCAGGATGACATTCCTAGGCCTCTGGCTGCCTCACAGTCCAGCCCCACACACAATGTCCTCTAAGCTTCCAGCTCCTACGCCATAAACCATGAGCTCTCTGCCCTCTCTGACAGCTCCAGAGAGCACCCACGTATGCCAGCTGGGGCATGGAGCCTGTTCCAAGAGCTCACAGGCTCAGCCATGGAGGCTGGGGGGCCTTGGGGCTGTGGGGGCCAGCCCTGGTACCTGTGTCCAGCTTGGACGCTCTACACCTGCAGCCAGGAGTCATCCATGGGCCCCCATGGGTGTGCTGACGGTGTCATGTTGATATCGCCGATGATGCTGGGCACCTCCCTCAGCACGTGGTGCATGCACAGCATCTCGTTGCACTGCTGTGCCTACTCTGCTGACCCCTCCATCAGCATGTTCTTGTCTCCATGTGAGTACAGGGTGGCCAGCAGCTCCAAGAAGATGAATTCCTTGGTCTGAGAGTGGGCATAGAGGGAAGGAGGTTGGGACCTGATGCCTGTGCCACCCTGGCCACCCCACCAGGCCCTGCTGTACTGTGTGCTGGACTTGGAGCCCCGAGTATGGCTTTTCAGATGTGGCTTCTAGTGTCTTCAAGTGTCTTCAAGTCTAGAAGACCTGCCTCCCCACCACATTTTCTCACTCAGATGGGGACAGAGGTCCAGAGGAAAAGTCACCTGCCCAAGGTCACAGATCTGGGAGGGGAGCCAGGACCTATCATGCCACCAGGACACCTGTCTACTCAGTTTTTAATTTTTGGAGACAGGATCTTACTCTGTCACCAGGCTGGAGTACAGTGGGCGAGATCACTGCTCACTGCAGCCTCAACCTCCTGGGCTCAAAGTGATCCTCCAACGTTAGCCTGTTGAGTAGCTAGGACTACAGGCACATGCCACCACCAGGCCCAGCTATTTTAAAAATGTTTTTGTAGAGACCAGGTCTCACTATGTTGCCCAGGCTGGTCTCAAACTCCTGGGCTTAAGTGATCCTTCTGCCTTGGCCTCCCAAAGTGCTGGGATTACAGGCATGGGCCACTGTGCCCAGTCCCACGTTCTAGTTCTATGGGACAGCTCTGGTCTTGACTGTGCCCCTCTCCCTGGACCTGGTCCCACAGGGCTGGTTGGCATCTCTGCCAGGCCAACACGGCCACCTGCCTCCCAGTGCCACAGGAGCCCTCTGCCCCCATGAGGTGGTGCATGCACATTGTTGATCATGAGGTGTGTGGTGGTTTTGGGCATGAGACCAACCATGAGGTCCCACACGGTCTTGTTGACAAAGGCCACATAGGAGTCCACAAGGCTCTGGGTGGTCTCCATTTGCTGCTCCAGCTGTGGGTCCATGGAGTGCATGAAGCTGTCAGAGCCATTCTCCTCAGTCTTGCTGGTCTGCCATGGAGAACACAAGGGCATCAGGGTGGCCAGGCCATGCAGCCAGGCTCCAGGCATCCCCAGGATCTCAGCCCCTCCAAGCGTACCTGGAACATTGAGGCACAAGGAGAAGCAACTGGCCAGAACACACACCCAGCTCCCCACACACTCTAAAGTGTTTCACGTCTCTGCCTCTCAGGACCCCAGACACCACTGATCAAGCCTCATCTTAGTTTTGACTCTAGTACCCAGAATTTGCCTCCATTTTCTCAATCTGGAAATTGGAAAAGAACATCTCCAGGTCCCTTGCTAGAAGACCTGGCCAGAGTTGGTGCCAGGCTCCCCTGGTCCTGGGAGGTCCATACACCAACATGGCCACCACCACTGCCACCTGGGAGCACAGCTAAAGTAGACACACACAGAAAAAGGGGAAGGGTTGAGTGAACCTGGGACACTGCACCCCAACTTTAGTGTATTTTTGAATTCAATTTGCTAATATTTAGTGGAGGATTTTTGCATCAATATTCATCAGTGATATTGGTCTGTAGTTCTCTGTTTTGGATGTATCTTTGGTTTTGGTATCAAGGTAATGCTAGCCTTGTAGAATGAGTTTGGAATGGTTGGGTAAGGTCTCTAGTTTTGGAATAGTTTGGGTAAGGTTGGTATGAGTTCTTCTTTAAATGTTTGGTAGAATTCAGCAGTGAAGCATCAGGTCCCAGGCTTTTCTTTGCTGGGAGACTTTTTATCACTGCTTCGACCTCATTATTTCTTATTGGTCCGTTCAGGTTTTGGATTTCATCAGGGTTCAATCTTGGCAGGCTGGATGTGTCTACAAATTTATCCATTTTTAGTAGGGTTTCCTATTTCTTTGCACACAGTTGCTTATTGTTATTATTATTATTTTTTGAGACAGAGTCTTGCTCTGTCACCCAGGCTAGAGTGCGGTGCCATGATCTCGGCTCACTGCAACCTCCACTTCCTGGGTTCAAGTGATTCTCCTGCCTCAGTCTCCCAAGTAGCTGGGATTATAGGTGTGTGCCACTACACTCAGCTAATTTTTTTGTATTTTTAGTAGAGACAGGTTTCACCATGTTGGTCAGGTTGGTCTCAAACTCCTGACCTTGTGATTCACCCGCCTCAGCCTCCCAAAGTGCTGGGATTACAGGTGTGAGCCACCATACCTGGCCTTGCATACAGTTGCTTATAATAGCCACTAGTGATCCTGTGAATTTTTGTGGTATCTGTTGTAATGTTTCCTTTTTCATCTTTGATTTTATTCACTTGAGTCTTCTTTTTTCTTAGTCTTTCTTTTTTTTTTTTTTTTTTTTTAACACTGTTTTTATAAATTTTACTTTAATGTTCAGGATACATGTGCAGAACATGCAGATTTGTTACTA